AAGATTGGGGGAGATAAGGAGGATAGAGTGAGCGGCCAGAGAAGGGGGATTGGTCATTGGTCTTTTGATGGTGTACATCTTCTTCTTCTTTCTTTCTTCTTTCTTCTTTCTTCTTCTTCCTTTGTCGCTTTCCCTTTCCAAGTCCTTTCATTTCTTTTGCGATTGAATGACATTATCTTTCCTTGTGTATTTGCACTTCGGAATAGCCAGCCAGGATCATAACATTGGCATCCCAGTGGATCTTACTTGCTGACGAGAGGTGGTTTGGCTGCCCCAACCCTAAAACAAGTAGTTTGGGCCCTTGGGGCCAACAACTTCCAACTCTAAATTGAAGTAGTTAGGCCCCAAACTACTTAGTTTAGGGTCGGGGCTAACTACTTAGGTTATGGGTTGGAAGTTGTTAGCCCCAAACTACTTAGTTTAGGTTTTGGGCTAACTACTTCGGTTATGGGTTGGAAGTAGTTAGGCCCAAAGTACTTACTTTAGGGTTGGGGTAAACTACTTCGGCTTAGGGTTGGAAGTGGACTTAGTGGAGGAAAGTGGGGCAGCATGGTATGGGTACTATGGGGAAGCTGTCCTCACTGGATGGGACGTGTAGGGTCGGCAGGATGCTTGAGTGTAAGTTTGGGGTCGAGAGACACTTAGAGTGACTTCGTGATGCAAATTGGGAGAGGCGACAGTGAGAGGTACCCACAGCTGGATCCTGGACCTAAGGAGGACATTGAGCGACTTTCGGGCTTTTCTCGAAGTTGGCGAGCTTGGGGGAAGTAGCCATATTCGCATCCAAGGACTGCTAGTTGCTACTCTGGTCTTCGACATTAACGGGGGTTCCGGCGTTGTACTTTGGTGTAGGGTAGACCCTCCTAGTCTGATGGGACACTAGTGTAGACTGCCACATGTTCCCAATTCAAACATCCAGCCGTGTATGACAGCCACGTGTTCCTAACCCAAATGCAGCCGTCACACAGAGACGCAGAAGATGAAAGACACCCACACCCACAGAGAGAGAGAGAGAGAGAGAGAGAGAGAGAGAGAGAGAGAGAGAGAGAGAGAGAGAGGATGCAAGATACACGATGGAAGGTCTATAGTTCTCTGAGAGCGAGTCAGCTCAGTTTCGGAAAATGTTATAGCTTGCACACAAAAGAAATACGAAGAGGAGAGAAATGAGTACTTTTTTTTTTTTTTTTTTTTTTTTTTTGTTGAAATGAAGACTTTGGGGATACTTCTATTAGGACTTTCCTGTATGCATCTGATGGGAATTACAACCTGACCTTTACGTATCTGACCGCAATAACGTCCAGAGCTCAGTAGATGAAGTCCTAGTGTGAGAATGCTCTCACGTGCGAAAAATGTTATAAGAGAGAAGTACGCGAATGACCGAAAGTACTAGACGAAAGAAAGAAATATGGGTCAGCCTAGGTTTTTCCTTGAAAGCAAAATTGACTAACTATCATACGTGGGGAAAAGATGACCATTAACAAAAAAAGAAACGAAAAAAAAAAAAGGTTCAGGAGCCTCAACTTTTCCGCAAAGTTGATACTACAGAATTAAACAACGAGGTGAAAATTAAAAAAAAAAAAAAAAAAAAAAAAAAAAAAAAAAAAGCGGAGAGATAGAAAAAAAAAAAAAAAAAAAAAAGAAAAAAAAAAAAAAAAAAAAGAAAAAAAAAAAAAAAAAAAAAAAAAAAAAAAAAAAAAAAAAAAAAATGGTGTCGGTCAAACATCTTATCTTGTCCTTCGCGACATCCGTTAAAATTGGAACGATACAGAGAACAAAGATTAGCATGCCCCCTGCGCAAGGATGACACGGATAAATCAAGAAATGGTCCAAATTAAAAATAAAATAAAAAAATAAAATCTTATCTTGTCCTTCGCGACATCTGTTAAAATTGGAACGATACCAAGAGATGAGATTACCATGGGCCCCTGCGCAATGATGACACGAGCTTTTTTTCTTTTAATAAAGGGGGAAAAAAAATTGCAAAACAAAAAAAAAAAAGATGACACGTGAGGTAATGTCGAGAAATGGTCCACATTTGTAAGAGTTTGAGTGTTGATGACAACAGTAAATGTAAATGTTGTGTAGTCTTATTTTTCCTTAATTTGCCGATCTTCAACAAAATGGAATTAATATACTATTTTAATAATTTTATACTATTTACAGCAATAACAACAACGAGGGCCAAGTCCCACTTACCCGTATGCTTCATTTCTGATCATAGATTGCAGAGATCCACGGTCAGATAAGAGGCATACGCGTGGGACTTGGCTACGGAACTCACTCTCTTTCGGTACACCTGTGAACCACTGAGCTGTTGAAATACAGACCTGAGTTCGAATCCGAATGGAACAAGATTATAAAAAAAAAAAAAAAAAAAA